ATGAATAGTAGTTCTGGTTTCTACAGTAGTTGAAAATACATGGGGTTTTTTTTGTTGTTTTTTAAGAGATGAAGTCTTAATATGTTGTCCAGGCTGGAGTGCAGTGGCTTTTCACAGGCATGGTTGTAGCACACTGCAGCCTCAAATTCCTGGCTTCAGGCAATTCTCCTGCCTCAGCCTCCTGAGGGATTGATTACAGGTGTGTGCTTCTGTGCCCAGCTTGAAAATATCTGTATTTATGAGTTTTTTGCTGCTGTTATATTTATTTTACAGATAGGGATGAGGAAGAAATGAACAAGCGAGATGATAAAAGAGATGTCAACAGGTACTGCAAGGAGAGGCCCTCTAAAGATAAGGTATTTACTGAATGCTGTATTCTTTATAATGTGATGATTCCTATATCTTACATATTCTAAACTTATTGAAAATAACAGTCAAGAAGTTTAGTAATACTTTGTATATCTATATATTACCATTAAGTAAAATTCATTCAGTTGTTTTTTGGTATTTGTGGCTGTCAGGTAACCAGTATGTCTGATTCTTTTCTTCCATATTCATATACGAAATCAACTCATTTTAGCTAGGATGGGTAAAAGTCTTTTCAGATTATTGCTGTTATATGGAAACAGTCCCACTTTCTCACTTTTCAGGGATGAAAAAAGAATTGTATAGTATGTCTTCTACTTCTGCATTTTCTGTAGGAAAAAGAGAAGACTCAGATGATCACAATTAACAGGGATCTGTTAATGGCTTTTGTTTATTTTGATCAAAGTCATTGTGGTTACCTTCTTGAAAAGGATTTGGAAGAAATACTTTATACTCTTGGACTACATCTTTCTCGGGCTCAGGTAATTTATCTTGTGAATATTTAATATGAAATTATTTTTTAGTGACTTTTTAAAAGTTACCTTTTCAAAAGAAAAAATAACAGATTAATGTATTTAATTCTATAGATTGGTGCTTATCTTTCCTTTTAATCTCTACTGACTTTTTGATGTATAAAAGCAATGCAACACATGCTGATTGTAAAACAGTCAAGCAATACTGAAATGTATACAGTCCCTTCTCCCTGTTCCTCTAGTTCTATTCCTTGGAGCTAAAATATAACCTAGTTCTCAGATACATATGATAGTTCCATTGTTATAAACAAGACATGAGATCATTCTGTACATATAGATTGGCACCTTTTTTCATTCAACAATATATTATAGTCTTTCTACCATGAAAATAGAGATCTACTCATTCTTTTTATAGCTGCATAGTATCTCATTATACAGATGTATCATAATTGACTTAACTAGTCCCTAATTGCTGGTAGTTTCCATTTCTTGGAATTACAAGTTAAGCTGTAATAAACATCCTTTTTACATATATTTTAATGTATGTGTTAGAATTTCCATCAATGTTATTCTTTTTCTTTTTAACAATGAATTTTTTTTTTTCAAATAATGACTTGGAACTTAGATTTATAGGGAAGACACTTAAAAAGTATAACTGCTCTAATTGAATGGGAGTGGATACTTGAGAAAACAGTTTTCATGGATGTTCATTATAGGTGAAAATTAAAACACAGTTGTTCTAGGATAATCAAATAACATATTTTCATCTTTTTAATTTGTTTACTTACTTGCATATAAGGTAAAGAAGCTTCTTAATAAAGTAGTGCTCCGTGAATCTTGCTTTTACCGGAAATTAACAGACACCTCAAAAGATGAAGAAAACCATGAAGAGTCTGAATCATTGTTGGAAGATATGCTAGGTTTGAGTGCATTATTTTAAGATCTTGCTTTTTTATAAGTATATTAATTAGGCTATTAAGGTAAATAGCTTACTAAAACATGGAATCTTTTAATGTTCTAGGAAACAGGTTATTACTTCCTACACCAACAGTAAAACAGGAATCAAAGGATGTAGAAGAAAATGTCGGCCTCATCGTGTATAATGGTGCAATGGTAGATGTAGGAAGCCTCTTGCAAAAATTGGAAAAAAGTGAAAAAGTAAGAGCTGAAGTGGAACAGAAGCTGCAGTTACTAGAAGAAAAAACAGGTAAGGGATGGCATTGACTATGTTAATACTTTCAACACCCTGCTGGGGTATATATGTGTACATACACATGACATACTTATATACCCATGTATATACATAACAGGCATTTTAGTCTCGGCACATATGTAACTTTACTTTTGATTTTTTTCTGTTTCAGCTTATAAAATTGCGTAGCTTTATAAGAATCTTAGGGCC